TACCTTTGTCACGTTTTGATTTTTTAGCACTTCAAGCATTTCGTCTTCCGTAACTACGTAAGGGTCGCGATTCGTGATAACTTTTCTGCACGAGTTTAGTGTTCTGTGTTCGTAGATCTTAACGTTTATATCACTAGAGATAGTTTTTAGCTTAAGCAGAGCTTGAGCTTGTCTATCGTTCTTCGTCGTGATTAGACATTTACCCTCCTTTGTTCTTCTTATTTGTTCGACATTGTCACCACCGCACCAGGTTTGAATTGTTTTTTCAATGATTATAGGTGAAACCTTTTCAAGAGTTTCGCCTTCATCAACTCTTTCGATCACTAAAAATTTCCCGGAGAATCTTTGCTGACCGAGTGCTGGGAAGTCTTCCCCTGGGAAAAGGGGACCAGGGGCCCCACTGGGGCCGCCTGTATGGGGCATTGCCTTTCTTGCCCTCTATTCACTGTGCAGCAAAACTTGCTTGGTCTGACAAAAAAAAAAAAAAAAAAAAAAAAAAAAAAAAAAAAAAAAAAAAAAAAAAAAAAAAAAAAAAATGCACTTCGTCGGTCCACACACTTCACAAGCAATCAGCACCGATATGCAATTTGATGCTCTATAGAGCTATTTATGCATACGTCCGATCGCGGCGACTTACAAACTCGGTATGGTGTGACAATTTTTTGCGCGTTCCAGACTTTAGTAACATTGTTTTTTTTTCAAGATTCCATACACAGAATTCTTAAGATTCTGAGACTTCGATTACAGGGTGTCTACTCAATCCAAGGAATCAAATTCCCTGAGTTTTCCAGGTTTTTCCAGGTCGGATGAAAAAATTCCAGGTGCATACAAATTATACACATTATTATTTTATCGAACCCCCCTGTTTGCTGGTGTTAACACTGCTTGCACATGTCGAAAGAACTGTCAATTTAGATTTCAAAACAAAACTGTATCAGGAATCAAAAGTAAATACTTCCATCATGAATTACCGGAAAATTGCTCTAGTTTCGGCAGACGTATTTGCTTTTATTATTTTAAATAAAATGAGAAAGAGAAGGTGAACTTTGTGGAGTAGGAAATGGTTGCTCAAGAGGAACACCGGCAGGGATTTGGCTCATCTTGTCCATCAAGAGCTGCGATATGAAGATGAAAATGGATTTCAAAACTTCGCCAGGATGTCGATACCAACTTTAGACAAGCTAGTGGGAAAAGTTCTCACTAGATATACATGATTCCTTGAGTTCTGAAAATTTCTGTTAACAACTCAATTCTGCAAGGTCTTCAAACCTTTTGACGTCCCTGAAGTTTTGTTTCTGTTCTCCGGTAAAATTTCCTTAAAAATCAACAATCTTTCCTGACAATCTGCAAATGTCTCGGTAGTTCTACAGATTTCTTTGAAGTTCTGTGTGTTCTTCAGAAGTTCAGCAAATTTTCCTAAAAACCTACAAAGTTCCTGAATCCCTGAAGATTTAAGATCCTTGAAGATCAACAATTATCTCTGATGTTCACAACATTTCTAATAATCTACAAACTTCTCGAAAGTTCTGTAATTTTCTCTGCAGATTTTCATGATTCAATGAATATCTGCAAATATCTCTGAACATCTATACAATTTTCTAAAGAATTAAAAGATTATCTAGAAATTTTTGAACTTTCCGGAAGTTTTAGGAAGAGTTCTGAAGTTTTTCTAATTTTTCTGAAGCGGTGCAAATATCTCTAAAGATCAGCGAACTTACCTGAAGTTCTGTGAATGTCTTTCAAAATCCAAGAACCGCAGCAAAATTCTGAAAATTTATTTAAACATCTGCTAATTTTTGAGTAGATTTACGACCTATCCTCTGAACTTTTCTAAAGTTCCTAAAATTTATTTCAAATTCTGTACAGTTTTCTGAAGTACTGTATTTCTGCTCTAAAGATCTACGAACTGCCCTGAAGTTCAATAAATTTCACAGTAGATCTCCGAACGTTTCTAAAGTTATTTAAATTTCTTTGTGGATTCTTGATCTAAAGATCGGCGAACTTTCCCGAAGATCTGCGAGTTTTGCTGAAGTTTTGCAAATTTTTCTGACGTTCTACAGACTTCTCTTAAGGTCTACGGACTTCTCTGAATTCTTTAGATTTATCTATTTCTGACTTCCATGGAGTTCTGCAAAATATTGTACTTTTGTACTTCGCTGCGATTTGTTTTTGGAATTGAGGTGCTTTTCTGACATTTAATGAATTTTTCTGAAGATCTCACATTTGTGTGAAACTGTGAAACTTTTCGTCAAATTCCTGCAAATATCTTTAAAGTTCTGTAAAGTTGTCTTAAGCTCCGTAGCTCTATTCCCAAGATCTACAAATAAAAACTTGAGGCTCCATAAATTTCTCAGTAGATCTGCAAACTTCTCTGATGTTTTGTAAATTCTTCTAGGGCTACCCTGAAGATTTGAAAATTTCCTTGAAGATTACCTTAAGTTGTCAAAATTTATCAGAAAATATTTGAGCTTCCTTGAAGTTTTAAATGTCTCTCTCAAGATCTACAAATTTTCCTGAAATCGTGTAAATATTTATTTTTTTAAATCCCTGAAGTTCTGCAATTTTTACTGAAGATCCATTAACATTTCTGAGATTCTTGTGATTTTTTCAGAAGTCCTGTGATTTTTTTCAAAGTTCTGTAGCTTTGTTCTGAAGATCTACGAACTTTTGTGATGTTGAATAATGTTTCGAGGATCTCCAAACTTCTGTGAAACACTTTATATTTCACTGTAGATTCTTGGACTTGTCTGAAGTTATGCGAATTTCCCTGAAGATTTGTAAAATTTCGCTTATAGTTTTACAAATTGATTTGAAATTATTTTTGCTTGCTTGAAGTTTTGAAAATTTCTTTGAACATTTATCTGAAGATCTACGACCTCTCTTGTGATTTTGTTTTTATGAATTTCTGTTAATAACTTTTAATTTGTTTGTAGTTCTGTTCTCAAGATCTACGAACTACCCTGAAGCTCAACAAATTTCTCATCTCCGACCCTCTCTGAAGCTCAAAAAAAAATTCTATGGTGGGTCTCAGACCTGCTGTCTGGCCTGCTTATTCTTATACAATACATGCTTCGTATGCTTCCTTTTGACGGTTGCCAGTCTCTCGTTTTCGGCTGTTTCCTTTTTACGACGATTTTGATCCTCCACATACAAATCAGCGAAGAGCGAGCGTGACAAGACTCTCTGAATGAACTTGTCTCGTTCGCACACGCTGTCTTAGCTGTCAGATGCTTGTCAAGTTCAGTGTCCTTAAGAAACGTTTCGAGAAACTGAACGAAAAACTTCTTTTGAATTACGAATGAACTGATAATTGGAAAATTCCCTGAGTGGAACCAAAATTCCCTGAATATCCAGGTTTTTCCAGAAAAAAATAAAATTTCCTGTAAATTCCCGTTTTCCAGGTTTTTTCCAGGTAGTAGGCACCCTGGATTAATAAAAAAAATTAAGATCCTGGTCTTAGTAAAACTGATCAATATTAGTCGATACATTTCAGAAAAACAATAAGGCATATGTTACATCTCAAACTTTGAAAAACTTTCTAAGGAGCACGTCTTTTAGTACCTTGAACTCTTTTCATGTCACATAATTTGAAAAAAATCTCCATTTCTGGGATATTGAATGCATGATTCAATATCCCAGAAAGAATGTAGGAGAAATTTTCTAAATTATGTGACATGAAAAGTTTTCAAGGTTCAAAAATTGTCAAATATATTGAAAGTTTATACTCTGAGTCATTAATAATTTCTTTTAGATCTCAGACTTTTTTATATCCTGCACTAGGGAAAATAAAATATTCAAGTTTCTTAAAGGAATATACGAGATATCGGACTAAGAATATTTATTAATATAATTCTATTAACATAGGTAGTCAAATATTAAAAGGTTCGGAATTCCTGATAATTTCCCGGTTAATTCCCGGATCTCCCGGTTGCCCGGTTCACTGGCCACCCTTTTAAATAAAGCGTTCAATGAGTTTTATGGAAAGCAAAAAATACAACAATCTTGATTTACCAAAATCTGAAAGACTATGCAAGATACTTTGTCAACACTGGGAAAAAGTAAATTTTGCATCGCACTTTTTTCAATTCATTAATTAAATAACTCATATCTTCAAATGATGTAGCATGATTGCTGAGTACCTCTAAATCCACGTTTTCATGGTGTTATCAATTAAGAGCGCGAAAATAAACTTTTAAACTACTGTGGAGGTGGCTGGATTGGTAACCGATGAAAATTTTCTCGACTTCCCTGAGCATAGAATATCCACAGATAAACAGACATAACGCATTGAATATTTTGGACTGTTAAACATCGTCACTAAAACACTACCGCCATCTGTTGCACACACTGTCATGGTATGTACGTTCAGCAGATGAAGTAGCTGATGGTAGTGTATAAACGTCAAACGCAAGAGAACTATACGCGCCATAGGTGACAGTAGTACCAACTAAGAAAAAAAAATTGACCGTTAAGGTGTTTCGCTGTGAGGTCCTTATTCTCGCTACCACTTCGATACTTTAAGTGCACAAATATCAGCTTCCACGACTCGTACCACAATGAAACTGTTACCCCACGTTTGCTGAGCTGCAGCATACATGCAGTAGCAATTTTGGGTGAAATGGGGCACTAATTTCCGAAATTTGTGTAATTGAAAATTCGAGGTGGAACTGAATTTATAGCCTACGTGGCGGCCATTTGTGAATTCTACAAGGAATCACCATAAATCCGTATTAGATGAAAAATTCAAGAGTTATGTCTGTTTGTCTGTGGAATATCATTATCATTGTGCTTACCACACAATACCGTAGGCGACCGAAATCCATACACCTCATACAAAAATTAAGCGTTTTGTATGAAATGTACGGATTTTAATTAATTTCTTAGGTGTACGGATTTCGGTCCGTTCCCCCACGGCACGAATATGTTTTGAGAAATACTCTCTACTTAGTTCCAATTCGGACGTAATAGACATGACAATAATATTTAAATCAAAAACTCACCGTTATGATCATACATGGGCTTTCCTTGGCGGCGCCACAGCATCCGAAGCAGGCAACGACGAAAATGACGGATCCAATCACGATTAGCACTATCGGAGCTGTCCAAAAGGTCTCACCTGCAGAGGCATCAGCAATCGCACATTGTATCCGTAAATTGAGTCGATGAGCGGCCGACAGAGCAGCATTATGAAAGGTCATCAGGGCGAGAAAAATTGATCAATGAAATAGATATGTGTGCCCGCGAGTTGGGACTGATGACACTTACCGAGGAAATTCGAGTAGTGATGGTAGGACGATTGGATGATGGCTCCCGTTACTACGACGACCAGTCCGGTGATCTGGAAAAGATGAAGTGCGAACAGAAATACGGAGAATTAATTTAAAAATATTCATAGAGTGTATGGTTTACGTGGAATGAACCTCAAAATGGACAACCAACTCGAAGTCAATTGTGTGTGTGCAGCGGATACGCTTCGCTTGATGATTCGATTTATGAAGTGAAATGAACGCATAAAGAGGATCCGAAATTGAAATTGATTTAATTAATTGACTTCGGTTTTTCTGGAGAACTGTCCACACACACAAAAAAAGACTAATTCAATCAAATTTTCTGGTCGAAAATAATCAATTAAATACTTCAATGGAGTACGACCCTTATTCTCAACGGTGGGGTGGAGTAATTCTGGAAAAGGGTAGGTTTTTTCTCTACTCCAAAGTGGTGTCATATTTCATATCAACGCTCGTTATCTTCTTCATATCAGAGAATGCAGATACCGGAAGCATCCCCACATAGAAAGGAAACGCAAAGTGGAAGCCAAATGAGAAGAACCGAGGAGATCGCTATGCGCCAGAGATGCTGAATTGAAAATGTGGTTCTTTTTTATTCTGCTGACACATGACTATGTGGTGCGGTAACCCATATGTGCCCTTGAATATGTGTGGTGCCTGGTGCGACGACACGACGAAACTGCTCCCCAGCAGAAACTTTGATGATGTATAGTATGTAGCGCAAAGAAACGCGACCCATCGGAAAACTCATTACAGGCATTACAGGGCGTGCAATTAATCAATAAATCATAATTAAAATTTCCTCTATGGGTGCTTCATGTAAAGGCAGAAGGCGGTGCCCGCTGAAAGAACAAGTTTTGGCATAAACTAAGGCAGTGAACCAGTTGTGCGATTGTTGGCGGAAGAGCTTGGCGAAGTTCTATCGTCATTTGCACAGCTTGCGAAAATTTAGCTTGGACTCAATGCAGGATAGTTTTTCCATTAGTAATGTTGCCTTTTCAACTTTTTTTGTGGAAGAAACAGGTATTTTTTTTATCAGGATTATAAAGTTTCTCTGGTTCAGATTGCGATGTCCTTTAAGCTTTTAATAAGGACTCATTTGTAAGACCATTCGACCATTAACACTCACCAGGGGCATCGGCTAGCAATATTTCAACAATGTGTGACTCTTTATCAAATCTAACGGTACGTATGCAAAGGTACATGCATTAAGAAGTTATCTTTAGTAAAAACATACTATGTTTGATTTAAATCCTGTCGAAAAACAGCGGTAAAGCACGTGTTGTGCATAGTAGGATGGACATAAGATCAAAATCCCTACAGGACTATTAGTATTAATACTCAAGTAAATCAATCAAAACAAAAGTTGTCAAACCGTCCTGTTATCAAGGCAAATATGCAATACGTACCAAAAAGAGAAGTCATAATTCACTTAGCGCAATAAATATGACAGTTGATCTATCAATCTCGCGCCTACTCACATAAATTGAAATGAATATGCTGCTTTCACTCACGGAAGCCCAATCTTTCACACAACAGCAGCATGAGTAATGACCCAATGAAACAAAACTGCTACAGACATCCAAAACGAGAAAGTTTTCTTCCTACTGAGTAGATATCCATCTCCATAAAGCATCACGATAAAGTGAAGGATATTCCCAGGGTACTCCACCGCACAAGCGTAGGCATACAGTTGAAAATTCGATATGACCTACGGGGAAAAAGGCGGAAAATTGATATGGGACATTCTTTTCTGTCGACCCTCCCCCTCCTCCACCCAATCTCTCCCTCTCATTCGTCCCCCACAACGATGAAGACCCGGGATGATGGCCGGTAATGATGATGGTTCTACAACATTCCATTCAACTAAAAGGGCTTCCAATGATTGCTCACATTGACGAATTGGTGCTACAGCTGTCGCCCCAGATGATTCAAGCACATCTGTATGTGGCGTGGGAGAACGAGGCACAATGTATAATATGGCCTGAGGGTCATCATGGGTATTCGTTATTTGACTTGCGGGAAATTACATCGACGGGACCATTGCCCAAAAATTTGCTCTCTGGCAGAGAAATTCTAACCAGTGCTGCAAAATTTGTTGTTAGCTACAAGTTTTGCTCATAACTCAAATCTGTATCTCTTATGCATCACGAACTAGAGCGGGCAGAACTTGTTACTGTTTTTCAGTGAATGTAAAATACATTCACTGAAAAACAGTAGTGGCTTCTGTTCGCTCTGCTTCGTCATGCATGAGAGATACGGATTTAAGTTCTTTACAAAAGTTGTAGCTAATAACAAAACCTACAAAAGCTCTATACATCATTTTGCGGAATGCTGTTGAAGAAAAAAGTTAGAGGCAAATGAATGTAAATGAATGCACGAAATGAATGCAAATGATTTTCCATGCCTGGTCACTATCACGAAATGAAAATGATCTTCAAAGGATGTCATGTCATTTGGCAGTAACGAACATGTGCATGTTTTGTTCACAGCTAAATTTATAACAAAATTAAATGAATTAAGTAAAATAAATCTGTAGAGCCTTCAGAGAAAACGTGCATCTACGTCCATCTACAACTGTGCACGAGAATGCACAAAATTACACTTTTTGTTACCATGTTAATCTTTGTCACTGCAAACGAAAGTTTAGGTGAGAGTCAATTCTTCCAGTGACAATACAAAAATAAGTTTGTCAATATCGCGTGAAATCTGGCAGAGATAATGACAAAACTCAGCACGGATTCGAACTATTTAGGCTTGTTCCAGTTTCAAACACATTTGTAAATTTGTTTGCGAGAAATCAAACATGCGATGAATAAGATAAGATAAGACTCATTGCTCATTATATGGTAAGAGCACTCTGCCGATTTCCATCCATAGCTTGAAATTAATGAAGCATGTTTTGAATCTCAACTTTCTTATCATTGCTCAGCAGGGCGGCTACCTGATCGACTACCTTCTAGTAAATTTTTACGCTTCTGAATAGCTCATTGCTTATTCATAAGATATAGGGGCCTCTGATAGCCTAGTCTGTAAAGGCACGATATTACCAAGCCGTAGGCGGCGGGTTCGATTCCCTGTTCGGTCGAGGAAATCTTTCGGATTGGAAGTTTTCTCGATTTCTCTGGGCATTTAGTTCCATGTCATGCATTGGTGTTGGCATAGAAAGCTCCCAATTAATAACTGTGGAAGTTCATTTAGAAAGCTAAGTTAAGAGCCGGCAAAACGCTCTCTACAGAAGCGTTTTTACGCTTTTTAGCCTAAAAGAAGAAGTTATTCATCGTATTCACTTCCAGTTGGGTTCTTTCCGCATAAGAACAACAAATACAGTTAAATATGGATGATTAATTTCAACAGCGCATCTGATGTTGATGTCCGAGAACCGCTGTGTAAATTTAAATTATGGCTATCGAGTAGGTGAAAACTTTCTGTTTTTTTTCAGATTCTACCTTAGTTGTACTGTCTAGTGCAATGACTCTGCTTCAGATATAATTCTCATTTTCAGAACAAGATTACCAGAAGTAGGAAGCAACTCAGCAAATGCATTCACCATTGCTGCAGTAAAGTTGAGTGAATATGGTTCAATACTACAAGAATCCAAGCAAATGTCTGTTTTCAACTGGCATCGATATGGTAACCCTATTTCGCACCATCGGACCAGGCCACATAACCGCGTCCCGGAAGCACCAGATTATCAAAATGGATATGTAATTGAAATTTTCCACACCGCACGGAAGTATTGGGCAAAGCCTGCCAATGCATCGATTTTTGAGAATCGATTTAATATGTTTGAAGCAATCGATCCATCGATTAAATTGTCGATCTTTATGAGTTGATCACGACACCGTTATTTTTTCTATTTCGACAAACATTCCTTGAGGCTTCTGTGAAACAGCTGCAGACAATTATTTTGAAACACTTTCTTGAAAAACATTCTACCACTCTAAAAATAAAATCCTCCAAATTAAATCATAATGAGTATTTCTGCTGAAGATAGGATCGACGAAAGAACAGTGTCCACATTCCACGTGGGAAGTTTCTTCCTGCGTGGACAACCATTCCATAGCAAAACCGAAATAGTGGTGCTCCGAATTTTGTAAAAAATTGTAGTTGCATTCATTATATATTTTTTGACGCAGGACTCCGTTTGTGATTTCTATATGGGGGTACACTTTATGAAAACCGAAAATGGAACATGCAACAAAATTATGAAAGATTTTGAACATTAAAAACTCAGCTGCCCCTGGACCAATTTCAATGACTCTATCATCAATCGATCAGAAATATGTATACGCATCAATAGCATTGCTTCCGATTGATGATTTTTAACAAGAAACTATAGAAAAAGTGGTAATGTCAAACATTGTCCAATGTACAAATATAAAACGATAATGTTATCACTGTTTTCATGAAATAAACGTTCTTCCCAAACACAGTCGTCATAATCGAGTACCACTTGGTTGTACATCATTCTGTTTTAACCTGAAAAGATATAAAAGAGCGCAGCTGTCTGGCCTCAACTCATTTTCGCTTCGGACGGCGTGGTGAGCAGGCAGCAATAGCAGCAGCAGAAATGTGGTGGCAGGTTAAGTAGTCCAGTCTTCTACCTAACAACCAACAATGACTGGTCGTGGCAAAGGAGGAAAAGGTCTTGGTAAAGAAGGCGCTAAACGTCATCGCAAGGTTTTTCGTGATAACCACCATCCATCGTCTGGTTCGCCGTGGCGATGTCAAACGTATCTCAGGCTTGATCTACGAGGTGTGCTGAAGGTGTTCCTGGAAAATGTGATCCGTGATGCTGTCACCTACACGCCAATCGTAAGTGGCCATGGATGTCGTTTACGCTTGGAAGCGACAGACGCACTCTGTACGGTTTCGGAGGTTAAATCATCACCAACTTTGGCAACAAAACGGCCCTTTTCAAGGCCAACAAGCTTATTATAGTGAAGACTTGGAATAGAATTTATCTGTGCTTGTTTGTCCATGTTCAGAACCACACGCCCCCAACGACCACACAAAATGCTCTCCAGAGTTGTAACCTTGTAACCAA